TGATATTCGTGTTCAGGAGGTCGAATTACCCCTAGAACCCAACTTTCAGCCAAATCCGCCCCGTAGAAAGAAATGATCAAGATTCGGCCTGTTTTCGGAAAATTGGGGTAGTAATAGCCGAATAGTGCCAATTTCTGAGAACTTCGAAAAAAGGAAAAAAGTGATAGGAAGTTGGGGAAATCAGAAAACTAAGAAAGCGGTCGGTAGGGTGGGAAAGGGTGAAGTTCGTATAAGATGAGAGAATTCAGGAGGGGACAGGGTCGTACTTTCCAGAACTTTTCCCCAGCAGCAGGACGTACCCTGCTACATCCGCAGGACGTACCCTGCTACATCCAACTATGGTCTGCTTCTATTAGGTTAGAAAAAAAGTGCGACACTTTTAACAAATTGTTCTTGAAAAAAATCTAAATACATGCTGGTCGTTTTAGCCCTGGTAGTGGAACGTGCTGCGAGGTTTAGCGGACGGGTAGGATATGATTTTGTGAAGGCTTTCAGAGCGTAAAAGACTCCAAAACTTCAAGGAGCTTTTCGACCTATCACATATTATATTATGAGGTCCTGTAGGGCCACTTTGTCGTAGTGGAGAATGCAAACACCTGTGTTATCTTCAGGAAGGATGTCGCTCGCTATAGGGTTGCGTTCGTCTCAGCGCTTGCAAGCTGGAGTTTTCTTCATTTCAAAGTTGATGTCGGCACCGGCACAAAATGGCGGCCGTCTACTCAACCCCTTGGAAGCGCAGTCGGTAGGCAACATCGCTAGGCTGCACCTAACTTAGCGACAAGTGATGCTTTCCGCAATCCCGGTTACTGGGAAAATTCTCTGTGCGGGAACCATGCACATATCCTTCGCGGGACCCAGGAAACATTATTGGTTGGATATTTTGATTGAGACCGTACGATCCCCCTTTTTTCGGGGTTGATACGACCGCCCTCCTCTGATTCCTTCCTCATCGAGCGTCGATATGATCCCCCTCACTATACAACCCCCGTGAACTAAGAAAAATCGACTGGCAGAACAAATTTTTCTCAGCACAAATATGACCTGACCCCCTCTCCCAGCGACCAAATGCAATCTCCCCCTGTTGGGGAAACCCCCACAACAATGCGTCTAGGAGGAGCTCTCGAGGAGAAATGTCCCTTGCTCTGCCAAATGCAGATGTGCATGGAAACATATTTCACATTGCTTTCGATAGGAATTCGAAGCGATGTTGCTGGATACTGTCACAGCAGTGACAGCCACCGCTTACTCTAATTACCTTCAGAATGGATGACGTCACGCTTGATTTCATTCAGAAGCACTCAGCTACCAGTCCTCGTAATCGGAGACTGCAGGCGATGAGGCTTGCCAAAAGATCATGAATCCCAATCAGCGAATGAAACCGTTTCATCAAATATAGCAGCCTCTGAATACTATCTACTTTGTTCCCTACTCCATACCTAAGAAAGCAAAAATGTGTAAAAATTAACGTCTTCTCGAAAGTGACTCTTCTTTTCATCGCAGTTGCAGCAGTTCTACGAGAGTTGAATTGGGAAGCTAAGCGAAATCTGGGCACTCGACTCAGTTTTTGACAGGATTACCCTGTTTGTTATTACGCTGTACCATTATCCTTTACGGTCAGGATCCACTACCTCAAATGAAGTCAAAGTTATTCTTATCCCCTTATCCACTTCTAATGGCACAATCCACCGCTGACCGAACTGAATTTTGAGTTAACGGATGTTCACGTAAGCCCACTCTTAAAAGAGATTATCCAAGAAAATAAAAAAAAAATTAAAAATCTTGCTTTGAAGCTGACATTTGGACAATCGCTGAGTTAGCGGAGATTCACTTCAGTACTCTGATTTGCCCGATTCGCATCAGCCATGAGACATATTTGCATTGAAGGGCTTAATATCAGGATTAACTCCAAAAAAATCTGAAAGGTGGGTACTGTCACCTAGCTAAGTAGCTTAAAACGGCTGCAACGTTGTGGGGACGTTGTGCAATGTAAATGTTGGACCGAACCATAAGTAAGCGTTTCACTGTGCCGCATGATTTAAGTTTGAATTAAAGGCAGTTGGCACGATAAATCCCCCAAGACGACTAGGATCAATACTCCTGGCAGGATAGAATTCCGCGACCCTGGGCAGGCGCTGCATAGCGGTTTCCCCGAGGAAGGTGCCCTTATAAGGGCCCTATCAAGCCACAACTTTACGTCCCAAACGCCCGCCACGCCCGCCCGCCCACAAATGGACGACCGTTCCTGACGCTCGTATTCATTCATTTGCTAAGCAAATTATGAAGCGAAGGGATTGGTATGAAGCGGCCGTGATGCTGCATGCATACATGGGTACACATATGCAGCCGTATCTTCGGTAGCGGTGATTGGTAAGATGCCTACGGGAAACTCGTCCGAAATCGATTTACAAGTCACTGAGAACGGAGGCTTTTTCTTCGCAGGATTTTGACCGTTTCACTCCGTTCTTTCGCCATTTCCCCACTATACAGCGCCCTACTAGCATTTAGGCTAAGTAGGGAACCATCGTGCCAACTGCATTTAACAAAAGTAGGCATTGCCGATGCCATCTCTGTCTGGCATTTGTGAAGTACGCTACGACTTTGGAATAACTCGACGTTGTCAGGAGCACATCATTAGTGGCGATTTTAATCGACTCTACGACCGCCCCTCTTTTTCTAGGGGTTGGTACGACCCCCGCCCTATGGTTCCCTCCTTATAGAGCTGTCGAGCAGGAGGGGAACACGTCCCCCCCTCCCTCTACCAGTTCTTCTCATGTTTTCCCTAACCCTAGCTTCCTACCTCTTTTCTTCCGGAATTCGCCGAACAATTCCCTACTTTTGGCCAAAAATTTTGCTTTGCGGAGGGGGTGTGAGCAACCATTCTCAGAAGCTCAGAAGGGAAACGACCTCTCCCTTTACAAACGCTCGGGCTCTGAAACTCAGAAAAACGTCCTTTATTCTTCACAGAAAAAACTGTTACTCAAAAAAATTTTCTCAGCCTCAATACGACCCCCCTCTCCCAGCGACCAAATACGTCCCCACTGTTGAGAAATCCCAACAACAATGTGCCCTGAATTGTTTGCGAGCAACATCCGAGAAATGGTTATATCACCTACAATCTCACCTGGCACTCTAAATAGGGCTTTATTTTCCGACAATCGGGCAAAATTAGGGAACGAAAATCTACGTCAAGCACGTCCCGTAGTACTGGAATGTCATGCCCTTTGATAGGAAAGGTCTGGAAACTTGCTCCATGGCTTCTCTATGTAGACGCTCCTCATCAAACTTAGCAGTGCGCGCGCGGTGCATACCTAAAAGTTTGAATTTCTTACCTTTCAACCACTTGGAGGAAATCCATACGGTACTAATTGTGGGAGGCGACACCTCCAGACTCGCTCGACTCTCTTAAAAAACGCTATTCCACCGAAGGTTGGTTGTTTTCGGACCCATAAATTGACTACGCTTCCCACAATTAGTACCGTATGACAACCAACCAAGATAGCTTGTAGACAGGTCTACAAGCTTGCTTTACTTTTGCGCCTAACCACGTCGCCTTACCCCATGAAAAACAACGTTATTTTCAAAATATGGTAGAAGTTTCTATCGTTTCCTAAAAAATCAATGCAAGAAGAAATCATTTATTGGATAAACCTTAATAGGTTCTGCAGGTGAATGCAAGCCGCGCGGAACCTTCTGCTAAAAGATCATCGCTTCGGGGTACAGCGCTGTGACGCGCTCGGGGGGCTTTTTTCTCCTCTGTACCATTGAAAATTTAGCGCAGCTGCTCCTACGTGTTCCATCAAAGACCTGGGTCCCACTCTCAGGTCTTAGCGTTGGCATGTCTTGAACGTCGCTGTTTAAAGCAGATTCAGGGCATCGCCGTTCTCATGAGCCGCGAGTCTTTTGGGACTGTGTGCACACTATCTGCACTCCTTATCCCTGAGCCAGAGTAGGCGTGGCATTTGAACATGGCACGGAATTGGTTACTCGTGGAATATTCCAGTCTGGGACAACTGTCATCTTGTTCTGTGTTGGACAGAGACACGACAACAATTGTGTCAAGATGAAAATATCTCACCAGAAGCATAGACACCTTCAGGTTAAGTTGAAGCATGCAGCCACGCCTACCCGATCTCAGGGATTTCGAGTATACGTATCTGCCTAAACCGGCAGCTATCCACCGCCGCCCATCTGCATGCGTGTACACGCTCTGCCGCAGAAATACTGTATACAACAGCAGAAGGAAAGGGGTTTATGCCCTTGACGACCATCATATAATAGGAAGCCTTCCGGGCAGTTAAAGGCAGTTGGCACGATAAATCGCTATACAGGTGTAGGATTTGTACAACTGGCTTAACAGAATTCCGTGACCTCGGACAGGCGCTGCGTGAAGCCTTTTCCAAGGAGGGTACCTCTATAACGCCCTATTGAGCAACAACTTTACGTCCCAAACGCCTTCCTTGCCCGCCCGCCCACAAACGGACGACCGTTTCTGACGCTCGTATTCATTCATTTGCTGAGCAAATTATGAAGCAAAGGGATTGGTATGAAGCGGCCGTGATGCTGCATGCATATATGGGTACACATATGCAGCCGTATCTTCGGTAGCGGTGATTGGCAAGATGCCTAAGATGCGTATGGCGAAACTCGTCCAAAATTGATTTCTCACAAAGCTCACTGAGAAATCGGTTTTCTCGCCGGTGACGATTTTGCACCGCTTTCACTCCGTCTTCTTTCGCATTTCCCCCATTATGACAGCGTGCCTGCTAGCCATTTTAGGCCACCAGAGAAACCACTTCGTCGCGCCCCAACTGCCTTGAGATGTGAGCACCTAATCAGCAAACGCTTATTCCTTCACTTCGGCTCAACTGCGAAGCTCTTATCTGAAGCCCTACTTGTTGTGTTATTTTGCTTATTTGCCCATACGGCTGGAAGATCAATTACTTTCTAGAGAGAAACACCAGCTATGATCACTCGCTGAACCTCTCCTCTTGCAGCCTTCAATGTTTTACTACGCTGCAGCAGCTGCAGCTGGACCGTCATTAAGCACTCCACAGGAGGAAGCTCCGTCTACTCTTCAAAACAAAACCACGGTAGCACTTTTATTAGAAGTGTTGACGCCCTTCTCAATTGTTACTCATGTTTCACGGTAAGATTTAGTGGAAAAGCACTGTAGCAGAGTAAGGTATGCCAATCCACATATGCACAGGCTATCCTTTCGGGTGTACCATGAGGGGCAAGAACGCTGGGCTCCGTTCTGTCGCCTGTACCATCCAGCAGACTCTTCAGGGCGCCTTCTGTTTAGGATGGCTTTACCTGCCTTCGATACTTGCTATTATAGGGAAGAAAAATTGTCGCTGGTTGGAAACCATGTACAATGGAACAGCTTGAATAATTCGAGGATTATCGTAAACCATACTACTCCATGTTTCAATCGACGTCGACATTGGCATCGCCGAATTCGGTTGTTGCTTCTTTGGAGACAAAGTACACTCACCTACATGTGCAGACTCTGGTCCTTGCTCATGTATAAGGTGAATTGGTCTGCAGCTGCAGGAATATGCCACTTTCTCCGCTCGAAGTGCACGGCCACTGGTTCTTCAGGGTAGTGGTACCCACACCTTCTCCCTCGCTCTGTCCGCGTTGTCACACGACCAGCCCCACCATCACATTCAATGTCCTACCACTATTGGGTAAGATATCCAGAACCAACACTGGTTCTGTATATCTTACGCGGTAACCTTATGGTGAAATCCTCATTGTGGTACCTCAGTTTGTTCTCCCACATGGAAAGGTCTGCGAGACCAGGTTTAAAAACTACGTAAGGTTGAGAATTCCCCCAAAGGAGCTTCTATCTGTGAAACGCCACCGTACGTATAAACCTCCGGAGGGGTCGCAGTCGTTCTAGCCGTGACATTCTGCCTTCTAACTCTTGAGCTTCAAAGCAAGAGCCAACCCATTGACCAACACTCCCGATCTTCCCAACTTGCAATTTTCATTGACGACAGTGCGCAGAAACGGACCGGCATCGCGTCTATGCCTTTTTCAGAGCTCTCATCCTCAGATCGACGATGGGAACACTGCCACTTCACAGGGAACTCGCAAGCGTGGCACCAAACGAGGGCGACCGACGAAGAATCCCGTCTGGACATTCTTCCGTCGTATCGATGATAAAAGTGTCCAGTGTAATATGTGCGCGAGGGTAAGCACCTTCCAATATTTCCTGAGCTCAGGACCATTTTGATCTAATCGTTCGCCTAGTAATAAATAGGAAGAATTGTAAGTTTTTGAAGTTACAGCTTGTCAAGTCAGCATGCGCTACAAATATGAGTAAGCACCTGGAGCGACATCATCAGAATGCCGCCGCAGTGACAACGCCAAGTCCAATTGATCAAGTTGACTTCAACGCTCACAAGTACGATCAGTCTGTTGTGAGCCGGTACGATGTTCATCAGCCACCTCCATGGAATCCGTACTCGCAAGCACATGCAGCCACTGAAGCACGTACTCTTATACTGAATACTTCTTTTTGTGGTGTTGTTTTGTAGCAATCAGTGATCCATCTTCTTTATTGTTGTGCGTTACAGGGTGGTCACGAGCTATGATCACTACCAGAACATGCAAGCACTACAGCGCCCCCTACCAGGTGTCCCATGGAATGCAGACCGACGAGGTGCAAAAAGAAATCGTCGAACGAAACATCCGGTGAGCATATCGAATAGTGTTTCAATCACTTTTCTTTGAGTAATGAGCAACCCTCCATGGCACCAAGGTCAACCTTTCCATCAAACGGTTGCTGAGCAGAGTGCTGAGTTTAAAAAGCGCCCCTTAAGCTTTCTGGTGATAGGAAAGGATGTTGTATCATAGGGTGCGGATAGCGTTACCCCGAAAGCGAACCATATTCAGTACGTTCATATCGAAGAGTACCCCATGGTTGAATTTGAACTACTCTTCCCCAGGTGAATTAGAACGGATCATATGCACATATAGTGTAGTTCGCGACGGACGGTTGGGTGTATGCGCTACCACTTTTTATCGCAGACGCTCTTCAACAAGAAGGCAGAGAACGGCTTTGATAGGGTGACACACTCATACTGGCTGACACGCCCAACCGTCCGCAGAGAACTATAGTGTAGATGGTGTTAAAGGCATGCTCTGCGATAAGGAGCGTAGTTGGTGAGCGCTGTTAAAATATGGAAGAGAAGTTGTCAACTGACTCTTCTGTGGAGGGAAAATACAAAATGGTACTTAGCAACGCCTTTAGTATGACCCCTCCTACAGCTGTACGGACGAAGGCAGTCGGCTGATCACCTGTAATGAACCTATGAGACACAGTAGAACTACGCTTTTGCCTGGTAACACGGTTTTTGGCTGGGAGACGGACTCTAGAAGCATCGTGGAACATTCATTTAGTTCTACGGCTCTTACGTGTCTGCTGAGAGCGCTGTGAGGCCAGGTTCCCTGACCTAGTACGCTTCGAACAGTACCCACCAGTGTTCTTAATGAAAGATAAGTGCCATGTCACTGGTGCGTAGACATCCGCCATCAATCTGGAATCCGTTTCGCTTCGCCGTCGTACATTTCACGACAACTAAAATGGGGATAGGTAGTAGTCGTGCCCATTTGCAGAATGCAGGGTGGGATTCATTAGACTGCAGTAAGTGGCTTAGTGAGAAAAAGTGATATTCGGTAAAACCGCTCTAACTGAGGATACCATCGGCTCTGTGCTTTGTGTGGGCAGCCTACAAATGAGAACCTTACCATGGTATGGCTGGAGAATATGCAAGTGATCGCACCTCTAAATAGCGACGGTGAAGTGAAACTATAGGAATGGACTCAGCTCACAGAGTCGGGGCTAGTCGACAAGCCGTGGCCCATTCATCAATCACTTCCGAATCAGACATGCTCTGCGATTGCAGATACAGCCAACCTTTGACACGTCGTCCAATCGGAATTCTGCCTTCAACTGAAAGCCTGAGAAAATGATAAAGGGATATTGATTGGTTGATCAATGGCTTTGTATGATACGGCGCGCATTCCACTTCCATTCAAAATCGTAGTGGTTTATTGAATGAGATGTGGCCTATACAATGACTTGGGGGAGGGGGGCAGTCGAGTACAAGCCAGCGTTTTACCCTGACGAATTTGGTACCAATTTACTGTCCTCGGAGGGTGAAAGGCTTGGTTGGCCTGGGCGGGGTCGACCCGGGATTCAACCCAGGACTGGGCGAGCTTTTAGGCGTACGTGGTTTAGAGATAGTGGTGCCACTTTGCACTGCACCACTTCCTCCCAAAAGCCTAACGCTCGATTCTATTGATCATGTTGTTGCAGTGAGCGGTGTAGCGGATATTGTGGTGTAAACGCAATCAGTCTTTACAAATTTCAACCGCTTTCTGTCCTGTCTGGAAGCAGGAGGCGGTGTAGTGTCAAGTGGCGCGTTCACCACTCGTGCAGTCTTGGGTTCAAATCCTGGGTCGACTCCCGTCTAGGCCAAGCCTTCTCCTCCTCCAAAGACGGTAAATTGGTACCAGATTCGTCTGGGAGGACTTGTACATCGGCTGGCCCCCGCAAGTCATTGTATAGGCCACATCGCATTCAATAAGCCACTACGATTCTGAATGGAAGTAGAATGCGTGCCGCATCCCACAAAGGGATTGATCAACTTCGAAGACTTTATCCTCTAGCCTTTTACCGCTTCCTGTGACCCACCACCAATATCCTCATCCCGATCCTTCGTCCGTTGTTGGGAAGAAGAACTAAAACACAAGAGAATAATACTACTAGAAGGAGTACTACCCACTATTACCTTGGATTTTCTTCGACTGACCCACTGCAACAAGTGTAAAGATGGCTCTATGTAATGTATGCTCTAGACAATCTGCAAAACCATTGTGCATATAATAACCATTGTGCATATAATATAACAACTTCCTCACAGAAAACAATTAATGATGTGCGATTCACACAACTTACTTTTATTATT